TCTGTCTCTCAGGATTTATCTGTTTTGGATCTTTCATAGAAATAGAATCATACAACATGTACCTTTTTGTTGCTGGCTTTTTTCACTTAGCGTAGTGTTTTCAAGGTTTATCCAGGGCATGTATCAGAATTTCACTCCTTTTTATGTCTGAACAATATTCCATTGTATGTATATGTCACATTTTATTTATCCATTCACCCACTGATAAATGTTGGGGTTGTTTCCACCTTTTGACTATTTGTGAATAGTGTTGCTATGAACTTTCATATACAAGGGTTTGACTACCTGTGTTCAATTCTGAATATCTGTAGGCAAATCTCAAGAGATATTTTGGGTTCAGTTCCTATTCATGGAAATAAGATAAATGTTACGATAAAATGAGTCACACTAATTTTTTGGTTTCCCAATGCGTATAAAAATGATCTTTACACTATACTGTAGTCTATTAAGTGTTCCATAGCATTATGTCTAAAAAATGTACATACTGTAATTTAAAAATGTTTTATTGCTAAAAAATGCTAACAATCATCTGAGCCTCTTCAAATGAGTCATAATTTTTTGCTCGTGGAGAGTTTTACCTCAGTGTTGATGGCTGCTTGCAGATTAGGGTAGTGGTTGCTGAAGGTAGGGGTGGCTGTGGCGTTTCAGGAAACCAGTGTTTTCACTTATCCATAGAAGCAGCTCCTCATCTGTTCAAGTTTTAGCATGAGATTACAGTAATTTAGTCACATCTTCAGGTTCCTCTTCTAATTCTAGTCCTTTTGCTGTTTCTGTCATATATGTAGTTACTTCCTCCACCTAAGTCTTGAACCCTTCCAAGTCATCCATGAGGGTTGGAATCAACTTTCAAACTCTTTTTGATGTTAATATTTGGATCTCCTCCTGTGAATCATGAATATTCGGAATAACATCTAGAATGATGAATTATCTCCAAAACGTTTTCAATTTACTTTGCTCAAGTGTATCAGAGGAATCACTGTCTATGGCAGCTGTATTTCAAATCACAAATGTATATTTCACTATCACAAAATGTGTTTCTGAAATAAGACTTTAAAGTGGAAATTATTCCCTGATCAATGAGCTGCAGAATGGATGTTGTGTTAACAGGTGTGAAAACAACATTAATCACCTTGTACATTATCAGAGCTCTTTGGTGACTATGTGTATTGTCAGTGAGCTGTGATATTTGGAAAGGAATCTTCTGGGGAGTAAGTCTCAACAGCAGACTTAAAGTATTCAGTGGCCGGGGGCGGTGGCTCACACCTGTAATCCCAGCACTTTGGGAGGCTGAGGTGGGCGGATCACCTGAGGTCAGGAGTTCAAGACCAGTGTGGTCAACGTGGTGAAACCCTGTCTCTACTGAAAATATAAAAATTAGCCTGGCATGGTGGCATGTGCCTGTAATCCCAGC